TATTTTATTTTGCCAAAGTCTATGTGCATTATTATTATATTAGTTTTGTATTTTTTCTTAATATATACAATTGTTACGACCTAACTAAGGTCGAACCTGAAATCCTCGTCGGCATTTTTATGCAGACGTGCAAGTAATCGTTACAAAATTAAGTCACCTACTTTGTAGCACAAAGGAGGTGACCCACAAGCAATTTTTGTTAATCACGCATAAATTCGGTCTACTTAAGAAATATAAAAAGGTAAGCCTCGAACATCTCGGGGCCGTTCCGAAAAGTGAAGTGAGAGTGCGCGTACTGTGAGAGTCTCCATCTAATCTCTAAACCACAACACATTGTACAGTACGTAGACTTGTAATTGAACAATAAAAGCTCTTTGTACAACACAAACGCTGGCCTAGAATTATTGGAGGACATCGAGCCTTCATAAACCGACACCGCACGTCCAAACTGTGGTTCTGCAACGCCCTGAGCGGCACGTAGTGTCTTGAAAATACTGCAGGTAACTGGCTGACCCGTAAATTCTATAAACGGTGCCCGGAGCGGCACCCTTGCACCCGGAGCGGTACAACACAATGTACATTTAAAACATGTTTAATATATATTTATATTGCAATATAATGAATGTATGTTCTGATTTCTATGTCAACATTCCACAATTCATTCATTTCTTACGACTTTTGTTTTGCGCATAATTACCCGACGCGCGAGAAATTTTTTAGCTTTTCCGTTTTTTTCTTTTTGCCAAATACAACTTTATTGAATGAAAATCTGTTCAAGATAAGAATACGTAATGGTAGAAGAATGTTTATAGTTTCTATTTCCATATTTATATCGCTTTGATCTTAGAAAACCATCCCAAGAAAATAAATATCCCTTAGGTGTGCACAATTCGCCCACTTTCCCCTAATCATGAGAGATCATTGTATAATATTAAATGAAATCGTATATTTTATCAAATGACTTCATATGTAGTGAAAAAAATTATTTACAATTAGACAAAATCATATAAAATTAAATGAAATCATGCATTCAGTGGGACAATATTTCAACTAGTTTTACCCCCTCGGTTTATTATTATTTCGTTCACAGTCAAGGCGCATTGGCGCGAATCTTTTTTTCGTGGCTAGTCCTTTGACTCGCAGTAAGTTACGGGTTACCGACAATTTGGCGAGCCAACGAGCCACGGATCACGAATCGCGAGCCATCGCGAGCAATAGCGAGCCACCCTGTTCCTAAGGCGCGTAAAGGTTTGCCGAGCCATAACTCGTCATATGGCTAGCCTGACTCGGCGCGCCATGGGACCCGATTTTAGCATTTTTTATATCAATTTCAAGACCGATCGTGTGACGAGCCTAGGCGAGTCAAGACGGATCACAAGCCATACCGAGCCACGGGCCGTGGGATCCCACCTTAAGAATAATCAAGAAATTGCACCTTGCTAGTCGTATCGGCGGACATTTTTGTATCGGAGATAGAGATATTGCCGCAGGGAACAAACGGCACCATGCGCTCCACGATACCTGGTAGATAGCTCTCCTTGTAGATGGTTTTATCTGCAAATTTCGCGCCGTAAGGAAATACATATGTCGCGACGGGAAGGAAAGGTTTCTCCCTGGAAATCGCATCGTTCTCCATATAGCTTTCGGAATAAGTGGTCTTGCCGCACATCGTGATTTCCGGTGACCTTCGAACATTCAGATTAATATTATTTTTTATGTTACAGAAAATGAGCATGCAAAAGGAATATTTCTATAATTGTTACATGATCATATAGGGAGAGAGAGAGAGAGAGAGAGAGAGAGAGAGAGAGAGAGAGAGAGAGAGAGAGAGAGAGAGAGAGAGAGAGCAATTGAATATAAATATGTTGAGTTAGTTACTCCCCGACCAACGCAGGCTACAAAAATGAATCACTTTAAATAAACGAACTATATCAGTAAAAACTTTGTACTGTCTACTACTATGAAAAAAATATTAGAAATCCGAAATATTTAGTTTTCATATTAAAAAATAAACTTTTTGAAAAATCTTGCATTTTTGCTATATATAGATAATGGGTGGGATATATAGTAAAAATGCAAGGGTTTCAACAAACTAAACAAAGAATACGAAAGCAAAGCACTTGTATTTTGCTATACAACATGCTTTACTATTCTACACGTATGTATCATGAAATAACCACTAGGTCTTTTACACGCCTTAAGCTGGAAACACAATAGACACAGGCAATCGGCATAGGCAACAGGGAATAACGAGCCGTCCAATCAGAGCTCTGGGATATAATATCGAACTTATACCCCAAAGCTTTGATTGGACGGCTCGTTATTCCCTGTTGCCTGTGCCTATTGCCTGTGTCTATTGTGTTTCCAGCTTTAAAGTAATCATTTTATGTAGATTATAATTTATGATGATGCTACTTGTTACACACACAGTGACAAATCGATTCAACTCACAATAATTTAATTAATATTAACAGTAAGAAGCTGAAATTATAACTCAAATACTAATATAACATAAAGGCATGTAACAGAGTAGTTGCGAGAAAATTACCCCCATTCCTCCTATTTTTTCTGACTTCCGCAGCGTAAATCCCAGCACGGCGTATATACTGGAGTTACCCTATCTTATGGCGACATACAAAATAATTGTACTCTTTTTTTTTCTCTCTCTCTCTCTCTCTCTCTCTCTCTCTCTCTCTCTCTCTCTCTCTCTCTCTCTCTCTCTCTCTCTCTCTCTCTCTCTCCCCCCTTCTCCTCCCCCCCTCTCTCTCTGATTTTATCATTGTCAGAATGAAACACTCAAATTTACGTGCGATACATACTTGTACATCGGTTTCTGCGCCCAAGGATAGAACTCTTTCTTAACCACGACAAACGGCTGATAGCTCAATTTTTGTGTCGTCTCTTTAGGAAGTGGCTGGCTTGATGGACGGTACTCTAATATCGGTTTAAAACTAATTACAGGTTCAATAGGCCCTGGAGAAACGTAGGACAGTTTTGCCATCGTTTTGTCGTCTAATGGAGCCAAACTTGTACGAATATTTCCACAGGGTATAATCATTTCTGGCCTATCTACATATTTTGTCCCGTAATCGTGGCGGACTGTTGTCACATTTTCCATCGTGCCTGTACTCGTCACCGGTCTAGTAAAACGATTATATTATTGATTATATTACTCCAAACTTATCAATAAAAGAGGAATTTCCCAAATTATTTTAATTAGGCTGATTTATATATTCATAGTTCTTATTTTAAGACTGTTTTAAAAAAATATCTTAAGATGCTAATACGACTTTGTAGTCGGTATTTATAGTCGATTGTATTTAAGAATGTCTTAAATATAGTCTTAAGGTGTTATGAATCAGTCAGAGAACCATTAATACTAAATAGATCCTCTTTTTGTAAAATGTTATAAAAATCAATGCATATAATAATGGAATAGAGATACTTTATCTTACCTACGTTTCGGTATGATAGGTTCTGCTTTAACGGTTTGCCATACAGGTTTGTAGGATAATTTGTTTGTTGTTTCATCGAAAAACTTGCCAGTACTTTTCTGAAGGCTGTGGATAGGCAGAATTGGTTCCAATCGAGCGCAACGCGCCGCTGTACGATCCACATTTAGATAAGACAAGTGATATGTCGTTCTGTCTTCAAATTGCGTCGACGGTATCCTGTACAAGTGCTCTGGTGCAAAGGATTTTGCACGTGGAGGCTGCACGTATCTTTTGTACTGTGGTTAATAACATAAACATTCAAGTTGTATAAATATTAATAATATAATTATATATTGTATATTATATACCAGCATATAATATACAAGTATTAAAATCTTAAAATTACACAATCAAACATTAATAATTACAAGTTATGAATACATTAATTTGCAATCTATCAATAAAATTATTATAACGGAAAGTTCAACATTGTATACGGGATATCAGACATAATAACAAATTTTTTAATATTGTTATTATTTTAAAAGCATTAAAATTGATTAAAAATTTAATATAAGATATTGAAAATATTGACGAGACAATAGTTACTTTTGTCTTGCATGGACGTGCTATCGTTTTGGTACATGGGGCTTTCCTCTTTGAGCAAGGCTCAACAACCTCCATATTGCTTCAATCCCTTTTCTTATCGTAATTGTATATATGTACAATGCACAATTGCATCAATATTATTCTGCATAAACGGTTTAATAATAAATATTAAAATATTAAAAATAAAATATGTTGGAATCGAAGTTTCATTACATTTTAAAAATCTGATTAATATACGCCTGACACATGGTTCAGAACTAACTTCGTGTTATCTTCGTCATAAAGATATGTCGTTGTGATCATGGTGTCAAGAATATTTACACCATGGTTATGATATCAGTTTAAAACTTGCATAAAATTTCACATGATTCTATTTCTCTCACGATACCACGTGTATTACAAAAGAGAAAATAGGTAAAAATACAATTTCATAAAAATTGCGCTAGAAATTCTATTTTGTCTACGTATTCCAGTAGCAATTTCATTTGTACTTAATGTTATATATAACTACGTGGAATTTCTGTTGTCAGTACATATGTGACGTGACGTGACATGCGTACCACAAGCATCACAGTTGTTTAATTACCAAAAAATTTATATAGCATTTTAAGTGTCTAGTGATCAACACCTTGTGGATTGAAATTACTAATGTCACCTTCTCAATGTGGAAATAGATGAAAGAAAATATCGTATATTAAAATACAAAGATATTTTTTTCTTTCAAGCTATTTTTTAAACTGTAGTGTGACATTAATCGTTCTCTTAGGTATTGATCTATGCAGATTCCTTTCGCAGTACCGATTGGCACAGACTACAATGTGTGTGTGTGCGTGTGTGTGTTGTATGTGTGGAAGACACGAGAGACATTTCGTACAACTTGTATAAGTATCTTTTTCGTGTTCGTGGAGTATATATTGTATCTAAATTTCGTACGCACGCATCCTTTTTTACACTTCGTTCGCCTATCAAGCGATTAAAAGAAAATGTTTTAACATTATATATATAATATATATTTACTGTATACAATATAGTTGTACGAATATCTTATATCCCGATTAAACTGAGATAGAGAAAAAGATTATAAATATAAGACAGCCTAAAAAGAATTTCCGTGTCCTTCCGATCAAATTGCAGCCGCATTGCAGAAATAAAACTTAACAGAGGTAGGATGAACTTAGAAAAATAAGTAATAACATTTTTCGCGGCAGAAATGACACTGATACCACTGACACTTATTCACGAGCACTCGATTCAAGTTAGGAATTCTTATTTTCAACACCAGGAGAAGAATGGACTCTTGTTCTGGAAGCGCTGGGTAAACGTGTCAGAGAATGAAAACAACCTAGGAGTGCCATTTCCTTTGGCCCTAGAGCAAAACAGGGCACAATATTTGGTAACATTGCCATATATCTAAAAATATAGAAGCAATAAAAAAATATATACTTTTCCACAATTACAGCCGGCATTTGTACCAATTGCACGGGACTTTTGGCGTCTTTCAGAGCTTGTTGTAGATTCAAAATTTGACCGCGCATCACACTCATTTGCCTATCAAAGTGATGTCGGTCGAAGCCCTTATCTTGCTGCAGAAATAAACAAGCAATTATACTTGTGCGAGATTATTGTTGCATAAACAACAAATGGAATGCAATACGCTTGCTCGTGTCTCAAATAATATATGCAGCATACTTTAAATAGATGATACAAATCGTCGCAAAGATCTTGTACGAAATTCTGATCCGAGAGTTGCGGCAGGACTAGCTCTCTCGTGACTTCACTGAACGGCTGTTTCGCCTGAGTTAACCATGCCCAGTGATAAGGATACGCTCTCCATGAATCAGGATGTTTAAAGGGAAAAGCAAGGCCGTTATCAATCGCTGCAATCTTCACTTCACCCTGTTCAGTTCCATTCTTGCTAACGCTAGTATCGTATTTGATCAACCAATTGTCATTCCCTACGAGCGAAATATCAATCGTGAAGAAATTCACACAACTAATACTACTATAGAGAGAAGCGATTTTAACGGTTACCTCTGTCTGTATTTCTGATGATATAATCTAGGATGACCAAACGCTCAAACTGAAGCTGGAATTCTCGACTCAAGTGCGCCGGCATGGGCTCGCTTTCCCATCGCCTCAGCCAGTAATCGGCGTCCTTGTAACCGTCTACAAAAACTTGAAAGGAACCAACTTTCGGCGGTAGACCAATACGATTAAAATGCGACCCCACTGTAGGAAACTGGTCCATAATGGCTTGCTTCATACGCGCCTTCTGACGATCCAGGCGAGGATAATTGAAAACCTCGCTAACGAGTTTCACCACTCTAGTGTTCGGTACAATACTGAGGCTCAGCTTTCGATCGACCAGGCTGGCACCTGCTTCGCTTAAGTACCCTTGATTTGGAATTAAGCAACTCCTGCCGAAACAGCACGGACAGCAGAGCTTGTGCATCCATTTTGTCCATTTTGGATTTAATCTGCCGTAAGGTTCCTCATCTTTCGGTTTGAACACACCTATAATTTTCTGACAAAACAGTACATTTCATGAATCATTTATGTATCATGTATGGAATCACATGTCACTATACTTTACTGAATCAGAAGCGACAATATCATCTAACTTTCTTATTTTGAGCAGATTAGAAGTTGGAGCTTACCCCCGCTGGATTTTTGACAAAATAACTCCCACTGGAACCTTGGTATATCCTTTCTGGATAAACTCCATTATCTATTGCACATTCAGCCTGCCACACCAGTTCCGAGAACTGTGGATCATCTACAAATATATATATACGTCAAACGTAATTTTATGTGATAATTATGACAATTCTTAGAAGGTCACTAGATATTATGAATCATCAACAAGTGTACACAGATATGAAAAGCAAGAGGACACCACTGTGTGTTGCAGCTGTACGAACCTGGAAATCTATTGAACGTGACGTCTAGTTCCAAGCGACCAAGGAGAGGCTGGCTCTCCCGGTCGATCCCGGAGGAATCTATGGCTAGAGTTTGGTCGTTGCTCAAACTAGGAATGAATTCGACGTCGGGAAGCAAGTCAGCCGGCGACGGCGGCTGATCGTTGTGCAACGACAGACGCTGATGGTGGCTGCTACTGCTGCTGTTGACGGGCGCGATGGACAGATCCACCAGCGCATCGGTCTCCACCAGAGTGGCAGCGGCGGCGGCAGCGGCGGCAGTGGCAGCTGCAGCGGTGGTAGCCGGGCTGCTATTGTTCTGACTATGGTACTCTCGATAAGGCACGTGCAGTTGCCGTTGTTCGGAGTCGCTCATCACAGACTGCTCGCTCTCGTGACGACGATCCCGCTCCGCAAGGATCTCTCAAAGTGGACCTCGCTCCGGTTAATTCTTCCCGAGTTGACTCGGAGTCCAGTTTCTCTCTCCGAGCCGATGGACGATTATTACTCTTACGACATTACCGCGTACTGCCTTCTACCTGTCAGCGACGCGCGCCCGTTCTCAGTTTCTCCCGGTTGCTACGGTTATACGTATATGTATACGTGCCAACGTGCGAGAAATACGTTAGCATCGTCGTCGATGCGTCATCCAGATCACACGTATTCTCACACACGTTACGTAGCGTAGGTAGGCCAATACGCGCAGCGCAGCTTGCTGTCGACGGCGAGGACGATGACAGAGCGATAGGGGAAGAGGGGAGACTTATTGCGATATAACCCGATTAACCAAAATACAGCCCGTCATCCTAACGGCTATCAGCTGATAGGATTACCGCCATGTTTGTGTGACGCGTGCATTCTCTCTCTCTCTCTCTCTCTCTCTCTCCCTGTCTCCTTCTCTCCTTCCTTCTCCCATATGATCCGCGGGGATCTGCCAGTATCTACTGCAGTTATCGCCTTTGTATTCACATTCACTGCGACATGTGATCGATTCTGATCGGATTTAAATAACTGCGGTAGATGCGAGTGCACTCGCACTTTGGGTTCGAGACTCGTTCGGAACTTTGGGAAGGTTATAACTGATGGTTATGCGATTCGTCTGTTATGCTAATAGCTAATCGTCCTTGTGTTCATTTTCGCTTTTTTTTCTATATAAATAATAATGGAATAATATATCTCGTGTCTAAATGCTTGCATAAGACGATTTTTAATGACTTCGAAATTTGTTTTAACTGGCTTTTGATTGAGAGGTGTACTCCAAAAGCAAAACTGGGTAAGAGAGTGGGGGAGAGTAACACGTGTTCGACATGTGCGAAAAATTAAATGTATATAAGAAAGAGTATATTGAAAGATATAAAAATAAAATTATGTACATAATGGTAAGTTAATCGATAAATAAGCAGCGCATGTCACTGATCGGTGATCATATTAGGTGTTAAATTTAATTCCTGCCGTTTTTCGTCTCTAAAATTGATTTGTTTCGAAAGGAAATACCTTAATCAAAGTATTATTAATAAAGTAGAAAATGGAGGAAATTACTTTGATTAAGGTATTCATTCATCTTCCCTTCGAAACAAATCAATTTTGGAGACAAAAAACGGCAGGAATTCAGTTTAACACCTAATAATATGCACATAATGAGTTTAAAAAATATTTATTATAAAGTTAAGTATTCTTTTTGTGTAAAGAACACAGATAAAAGATTGCTCTTTACATTTTTTGAAAATTAGTTTATAACGATTAATTATCTTAATTCATCTCATTTATCTTATTTCATATTAAAATAAATATAATTCGAAAAGTGCAGGGGAATTCAAAGAACATTTACAAGATCGTTTATGTAATTAAAAATTATTAGATATAAAATACGAGATATACATATCTTTATAAATACATAACATTAGCCTATTTCTAATATTGCCTTTTGCGTCGTTATTATAAAACATGTAATTAGCCAAATACCGATATAAAAGTATGAAATAAATATATATATGTGAAACAGTGTGATATATCACATCTTATATTTAAATATAAATCAATGCTGTTAACAATAAGTTTGAGCAATTAATAATGTCAAAATTTAAAAAAATTACATTATTATCAATTTTTCTTTGACCAGTGTCAGGATTATTTAATAAAAAATCCCAGTATCATGAATTCTTATTAAACGTACCAGTTGCGCGTTCCGTCAATTCTTAGTGTTCGAGGATATATGTATGTAATAGCAGCATCATGACGGACTTGAAAAAAGATTTCTCGTTTTGCTTGTTGGATGCTCCGCTTGTAAGGGACGTTTTCTTGGTGTTAGATTCAATCCCTCGTAGTTCATACTTGGGTTATGTGATACGTTTTCTGAAAGCATACAGAATCGTCATTGTTTTCGCCAAATAATAAAAATTTTAGGCATATCAAAAGTCGCGGCAAACCTCTAGAACGCTTCAAGTTTAATTTAGAATGATGTAGCAATCGAGAGTACAAGGGTGAAAGCGGCTTTCCTTTGAACAAGATTTGCTCACACTTAACGGAGTGTACGCGGGGAGACAGCCATCCGCTCATATTGTTCCAAGACTTGCTCAAGTCCAACAAAGTTGCAGATAGCTCACACAATGGACGATATTTTCGTTTGTGCCTCTTAAATAAATGTTTGTATTTGCCTGAAATTTAATTCTTGTGACGTTCACTCTTAATTTCAAAATGATATAATTTTACATCAATACCTTCCATTGGAGATGAACACAATCTCTCATAGAAAAGAGTATCGTCCATATATTGATTAAAATTGAAATTAATTTTTGGAGATTGCAGTAAAATATAGCGGTTTGCTATTGATACATTGCTCGCGTCGCAATCAATATTATTTATTTTCCGAGAGCTACGTTGCTCATTTTTGCATATATTATCTATTTTCGTGTTCAGTATACTGAATAGCGTTTGCAAAGATTTCATTCTTTTGCGAGCATTCTGAACGAACAGCAGACACTGCGATAGATCAGAGAGATTGTCGATATTTTCATGATGTAATATTTTCACAAATACCAAGTATAGCAGCGATAGCAAAGTGGAGAACACAATGGAGTCATTCGCATACAAATTGCGAATTAAATGCTTAAATTACAAAAATAAAATAATTAACCGCAAGAACTGTGTGTACGAAATTTTTATTCAATTACCTTCTCACATTGTGTATATAATAAATAATTATCGTAACAAATTTCAGGAAATTTGTTTGCTTCGATTGTCCTAGAATTCGAGTTTATCCTCAAGATAAGTTTGCATAAATGATTGCAAGATTTCTCTAATTCGTTCAATTCTTTACTTTTTGTATGTATATATTGAACTTTATTGAAAATATTTTTTTTCCATACTGCACCACGAGAAGAAATGTCACGAGTTATTAATGACTGCATTCAGCAGAGAAAGCAGCTGTGTACTTTACTGTTGTAATCTATTATTGTAAGATTCTTTAATATTTGTTTATATATTTAGATTCGGTGAGAAACCAAGAGCGAAATGAATCATATTAAAAAATTTTACAAGTTACAAAGCTGCCTTTTGTGTAGAAAACGCTAATGAATAAATCATCAGGAAAATAATATTTATCATATACTAACAGTCTATGATGTTAGAATCTTCGACATCTATCAATCGCTTTTGGATTAATGGATTAGCTGGCAGTTCGAGCACTAGCTTTTTTATATTTTCTTTTCTGTCAAAAATCTCAGATTTATACATATTCAAAGTCTCGATCTCATTACTAAAATATATAATATGATTATTATGTAAGTTAATGTATCACCATTAATTGTAAACAAATAATAGCGATTTACTTCAGAAAATTATTTGTAGCCTTCAATGTTTTCTCCATCTTTTTATGAGTGTCTGTCATAACGCTATGTTTTTGCTCAATTGTGTTGTTGAAGTATGTTATTATTAAACTCTGTACTGGACTTGTACATGGTACGTTTAACAATTCTCCTTGAACTGAAGAAATCAATTCGAATAAATAACAATTGCTACAAAAATAAAATACCTTCTTCCTTATATTAATTATATATTACATATTTACATACGTTCTCTTTTCATATAAGTCCTAAGAGCGAGTTGCGATAGTTTCCACATAATAATTTGAAACTTGATTCCTCCTGACTGAAGTAAATGACTTATTAATATCGATGGAAAGTTAAGATCAGGATTGTCTCGTGATACGAGGCACAGGAAGTTTTTCATTTCAACACGGTATGTTGCTTCGTCTTTTTTGCATGAAATCGGCCATTTCACCATTTGTTTAAACAGTTTTGTATCATATATAGATGATAGATAATGCGATACATGCAAGAAACCCACTGTATTAGATTTGTTAAACATATCCTTTAAAAAATACTTGTATTTTATATGTATATATATATATATATATATAAAATTTATAATATAATGTTGTAATTAATATAAAAAAAACTTATATTTTTAAGAAATATTTTTATACCTTTCTAAAGTGTTGTCGAAACTCGACTGACGGCGATATGACTTGTGTAAGTAAAGATACATTTTTGTAGAATGATGAATTAATGGCTATAATTTGAATCTCTTTTAATTTACTCATTACGTACATATGACTTCAATTAACCTATTTCATCCGTGGTACTTATTTATGCTATGAAGAATGTTAAATCTATACAAATCCATAGTTGTTTAAAATATTTTGTATACGTGCAAAGATATGGACGTCGCGCTACTCGCGCCTAGAGTCCTAGATTTGTCAGAGAGGCGCAACCGGTGTTATGCATTCTGATTCGCTGTTGCAATCTGACCAATTGCGTGACTTGGCAGCCATTTATAGTACTAGTGACATATTTCTATTTGATTTTATCCTATACATTTTATCTCACACTATCCTACACGTCTTATCTTGTTTGACATAGTTTAAAGGCAGTTTCATAGCATGTCGGCTATATTTAGTACTTTCCTTAGCACCTTTGTCTTACTGACTTAAGCCGGTTGCGCCTCTCTGATAAATCTAGGACTCTACTCGCGCCGTACATTGTAATTGAACTATTTGCACTTTTCTGCACTCTTCGTCTTTTCTCTCTAAGGGTGGAGTCCCATGAAGCGTATTTGCCGCGTATCGCGTAACCCCGTAACCAATAAATAATCAGTAAAACGCGAAACCACAACAGCGGATCGCTTCTGATTAGTTACGCGGTTACGCGATACGCGGTAAATACGCTTCATGGGACTCCAGCCTCAGGTTGATGTCCCATGCAGCGGATCGTGCGTAAGCGGATTCGCGTATCGCCAATCACAGAATCATTCTCTTAGATCTGTTTGCAAATTTCGCAAGCATACTAATAGCGTATTTCACTGGTTGCACTGGTGCGCACTCAGTGCACATTAAGGCTGTTGTACACTATTCTAATCTTAAAAATATAAAAGTGAGATATCTCAATTGATAAAATGCCCAAAATTTATTTTATCAATAGCACAATAAAATGTATCGAATATTTCACGGTTTAATTCGTTTATATATTTTTATTAAACGTATATCTTTACGTCGATTTTTGTATAATGGCTTTAAAGTGCACTGAGTGCGCACTAGTTCTGTCAATAAAAAACGCTATTAACCTCTTTATCCGTAAGTATCACGTCAATAAAGTTTTTTATTTTTGGAATTTTTCATTTATTTTCATTCCACAATTCATCTTCGTCACTACTGGATGATGATGAGGACAGCACATCTAGCAGCTGAAGTGCTAATCGAGTTTCGAAATTGGCATCAATATGCCCCGCTTTCATATTG